GGGGACGAATCTGAACGATTGACTTGACTTTTTGCCTGAGAGTGTGGCCCAGACATGTTTCCCCTTGCGCCGGAGCCCACGAGCGCCCCCAGTGCGCGGGGTTCGGCCTGCGATCGCCGGGCCCAAAAACGAATCGAACCGACGGATTTCGACATCTTGAAGGTGCGAGTGGGTTTTTTTCGACGCCCACGCGTAAAAAGACGCATTGGGGTCCCTATTGGGGGCGCAGCTGGAGATGCTCTAAGAGCAAGTCTAGTAGAGCCCTCAAACCCTCAAACCCCTAAAAATAATCGCTTTTTTTACAGTTTTCGCCGAAAAAATACCGTAGACTAGAACCTCTAAACCCTCAACCCCGTAAAAAAAATTTAGAGGTCCAACCCTCAAACCAGTTTGCATCCTGTAGAAGTAGGGGTTGAGAGGGAAATCTCCCCCCAACCCGCACTCCTCCTCCTCTCTCGCGCGAGAGGAAACTTCCTCCTCCTCCCGGCCTCCTCCTCTCGCCGCCTCCTGTCGCGCCGGCCATGGAGGGCCCCGCCGCTGCCGCGCCCCGCCCGCCCCCGCCCCGCCCACCCGACCGTGGCCGACGTGGTGGCGGCGACACACGTCGGGGCCAAGCGGCGGTGGGCGGGCATCGCACCTCCTCCTCCCGCCTCCCCGGCTCCCGACCCGGCCACCGTCACCACCCAGGCGCCCGCCCCCGCCGCCTCCCCGGCTCCCGCCCCGGCCACCAAGAAGAGCCGGCCAAAGGCGCCATCCAAGGTCGCCCCGACCATGAAGATGCCGCGGAAGAAGCTTGCGGTGCGGAAGAAGCCCGCGCCCCCGCCCGCCTCCGTCGCCGAACCTCCTTTCGTCGCCGTGGCCGAACCTCCTCCCACCGCGCACGAGGTGATCGAGAAAATGGCAACCCCATCCTCGGTCATGGACCTCCTCCAAAACGCGAAGGTGGACCTCGGGGCTCCGCCTCTCGAACCCTTTAGGGTTGGTGACGACTTAGAGGAAGATGAGGAGGATGAAGGTGATGACGAGGAGGAGGTGGCCGAGATAGGGGAGGAGGCATTCACCGCCGCTTCCCGCCCACACGCGCGGTCGACAAACTACACCGAGGCGGAAGATATTCTCTTGGTTCGTGCTTGGGCAGCTGTGGGAATGGATGCAACCACCGGCACCGATCAAACCGGTAAACGGTATTGGCAAAGGATCGAGGACACCTATTGTAGGATCAAGCCGAAGAATAGTGGGTTCATCTCTCACACTTACCGGTCGCTTCAAGGCCGGTGGTAGTTGATGAAGCCCGCTTGTGCTCGTTGGAGTGCGGCCATGGATCAAGTGAGGGATGCACCACCTAGTGGAACCGTGGAGAGTGACTATGTGAGTACATATTTCTTCACTATTTTGATTATGTGTGTGTACTATGCTATTGGTGGGTTCTTATGTGATTTATGTGTGGTTGATAGGAGACAATTGCCGGCATGAGGTACAAGGAGATGGCCACTTCCAAGGGCAAGCCATTCCCATTTAAGCATGCTTGGACAATTCTTCAAACCTTTGACAAGTGGAAGTTGAGGGACCAAGAGACCGCACCCAAGAAGTCGGCAATGTTTAGGATGGATGATAGTGAAGATGAGGAGGAGAGGAACTTGGGCAAGCCCGAGGGAACCAAGAAGGGCAAGCTAAGGGTGAAGATGGAAGAAGAGGCGTCAAGCCTAAGGGAGAAGATGGACCACATGATGAAGGCAAGAGAGGAATTGATAACGAAGACATTGGAGACGAAGCTTCTTATCATCGAGAAGAAGAAAGAGGTCAAGCTTGCACAAGTTGAAGCAAAGCGTGAAGAAGCAAAGCACAAGGCCGAGTTGGAGGAGAGGATGATCAAGTTCAAAGAGGCAAAAGTATGGAAAGAACTCATGGTGGAAGAGAAAGAGCACATGATGATGTCTAAGAAGGACATGAATCAAGACCAATTGCAATGGTGGAAGAACTACAAGGAGGACATCGCGGAGAGGAAGAGGATGTTTCGTGTTGCGTCCTCCACTTTTCAAGGTGACACTCCGATGAGTAGTTGTGGCGATGGCGGTGTGTACGACTCCACCGGTGCCCATGGAGATGCTTGATGGAGCCCGCATGTGGTCTAGGAGATGGCGCCGAGGTGCAACTTTTTGGTGATGGTGCCGATGAGAGGAGGAAGATGATGATTTTGTGATGTAAACTATTAAACCATGCATCAATGATTGTCATTTGATAGTTTGTTTGGAAGTTGATTGTGTTCTTGTTGTCATAAATTGTGAGATGTCAAATAATAAATTTAAAGGTTGGGGTTGAGGCAAAAACTAGAACCCTCAAATCCAATCTTTAAAGCAGTCTAAGGGTTGGGTTTGAGAATTCTAGTATTTGCCCCTATTTTTCAACCCTTAAAAATATCAAAAAGTGGCACTTCTCAATCCTTAAAACTGCTTTAAGGATTTAAGAGTTTAAGGATTCTACTAGTAATGCTCTAACCCCACCCCCAACCCACCCACTGACCTCCGGCCTCTCGCCTCACAAACCGCTCGCTCCAACCGACAGGTAGGCCTGCGTATCGCGGCCCACAGGTCAGCCTCACCGACAGAAACGACCTCGTCCCGGCTCGTGTCTTCCCCTCCTGTTCTCTCCGCCATTTCTGCCAAGAAAACAAAGCAATCAATCAAAAACGAAAAAGGTGGCGAGAGGGAGAGGGAGAGGAAGGTGCCGGCCCTAGCAATGGCGGGGTGGTACGAGGAGGCGGCGGGTCTGCTGCTGCGCCGGCCGGCGTTGGCGGAGATGGCGGTAGATGTGCTGCTGTGCGCCGTGCCGATCTGGGCGGCGGTCATGATCGGCCTCTTCATAGGGTGGGCATGGCGGCCGCGCTGGACCGGGCTGATCTTCCTCGGTTTCCGCAGCCGTCTCCGGCTCCTCTACGTGCCTCCCGGGCTCGGCGCGCGCCGCCTATGGCTCGCCTGCACCGCGCTCTCCGCCTTCTCCGTCGCGCCGCAGCTGCTCTCCTCCGCCTTCCGCCGCCATGGGAAGTACCAGCGCAAGGATCCCTCGAACGACGACACGGACGCCTGCGGGGATTCTGGTGCTTGCGCTAACGGCAGGTGAGAGCGTACTAGTCGAATCTATCTGGCTGTGAAGCACAGGGCGGCATTTGACTTGTCAATTGTGTTGGTTGGAATTGGTTCGGGTCTTCGTATTTACAAATTACGAGAACGGAAGTGTGATATGCTTCACTTCAGCCAATGACCAACACCAATTTTGGGAGCTTTCACAGTTTTTTCATCAAATTGAACTAGTAAAACTGAATCGATTACGGAGGTTGTGGAGCAAGATTAGTGCGACAGCGGGTTTGTATTTCTAATTGGATAGGTGGTGATGAAATTTTATAGTGTTTACTTCCTGAGGGTGTTTTGGGGCTCCCTGATGACCCGTGTCCCTCAGTTGTGCGAAACTTTGCCTTCTTGGTTTAGATTGCACGGTTCAAGGATTTGCAACATATAGCTTACCTTGCCTGACTATTATGATAAAGAACTAGTTACTGCCAGTAAGGTTATAAATTGTAGTTGACCGCTTGTGTTTGGGCTTACTCTTATGGCCAGGTCATGGAGGTGAGGGTTAAGTGTCTTCTACTTGCTTGAACAATTGCATTTGATGTAGGCATGGTCATTGCAGTGAAGGATAAGCTAAATCAATGTGACAAAATAGTTAAATAAATGATTGGTTGTCTGTGAATTGTGATAGGAAAACTAAAGTTGACTGATTTCAGTGTAAGGACTAATGATAAGCATCATTTAAATTTATTTTGACCTGCTTGTTTCGTCCGATTGATCATGATGAAGTTTCTTTAGTTTGATTATTCAGTTTATATGTTTCAGTAGAGGCATGGTAACATAGATAAATTGTATTCTTCAGATATGAATGCACCAAAAAGCCCCATCAATGTACATTTATCCAATGATCTCTTCCACTAAACATATTTTTTTACAAGGTCAATTTTTGAGGTCAAGCATGGTATTGTCACTGAGAAGGACCTAGATCACCTCGTGCAGCTTTTAGATAATAAGGAGAGTGGGCATACAACATGGCAGCATTTGATGGAGCGTACCACTTCCAACATGACGTACAAGGCCTGGAGGCATGAGCCCGAGGTTTGTTTTGTCAATGGGATTCTAGAAAGAGAAACAGATGCTAAGATATAGTATTTTTATATATAAAAAAGAAGCTTCCTTCATTATAAGAGGTAGTATTTGCTTCTTTTCTCAGGTTGGTAGTATAAGCCTCTAAAAGCAAAGAAGAATTTCAACACTTCAAATAAATACCCCATGGACATAGGTTATGAATACTTAAAGTCCAGTAGCGCTCTTTTACCCCATGGTAATTTTTTCCTGGCGAAATGGCCTTTTTCTCTCATGGTAATATTATCATGCCCATTTTTTTTTGCAATGTTATCATGTCATTGACTTGAAGGGGAGCCTTGGCGGCAGCGGTAAAGCTGTTGCCTTGTGACCATGAGGTCACGGGTTCGAGTCCTGGAAACAGCCTCTTGCAGAAATGTAGGGAAAGGCTGCGTACTATAGATCCAAAGTGGCCGGACCCTGCGCAAGCGGGAGCTACGTGCACCGGGCTGCCCTTTTTTTATCATGTCATTGACTTGCTAGTATACCTTTATCCATCTGCTACGTGTTTCGTTAGATTTCGATTTTTTTTTCTGAAGTTACTTGATCGAGAAACTGTAGGAACATGCAGAGAATATATATCATGGCTAAACTGTCAACATCTTATGTCATGTGGGGGCGTACGTATAGGAGACGTACAACCAGAGAGAGGAGGCCAGCGGACAGGGGGTGTCCAAATTAGTATCAATTAGTATCAGGTTTGGAAACGGAAGGGTTTTTTGTCCCAAAGAAGGTTTTCCCTACTGTTCCTAAAACAAGTAGGAGTCTGTTTCTATTTCTACTAGGAGTCGTCATGTGACTTGACTATTTATATTGCCTCCCTGTGGAGGAACGAATCAAGCAAAAAAAACACAACTTGGTTACCTTGTGCCTTGTGCGCCTCTCCTCTTCCCTGCCACGGGGCGACGAGGCTTCAAGCCTCGTCCTCCCGTAGAGCACAGCTACAACCTACGATCAACTCCCAACGCTCCTAATTCCCAAGCATCTGACAATTTGGTATCAGATTCATCGATCTCTGTTGCGCCTGCAACCATGTCGTCCTCTCCCAAGAAGCCTGATCTTCCTAAAACCCTCGAAGACCTCGCTGCCAAGGAACATGCAGATTTCGAGGACGTCCAGCAAAATCTGGGCGATCTGTCCGAGGGCGTCGAACTCCTCCGTAGCGACATGACCAAGGCCCTAAAGGATGTCACCGATGCCCTGACGGCGTTCAGAACAGAATTCAGCGATCTATCACAACAACAGCGCGCACAAAACCTGGCCATCACCAGGTTGGAGCGTGCGAGCCGTGGCGAGCCTTCCCTCGTTACCGCCGACACCCAATCAGCGGCTGCCCGTGTCGGAGGTCAACTCAGGTTGCAGGCTCCACTTGGTTCCGCCGACGAGCGTCCACCCCGCCTTTACAAGCTCGACTTCCCTACCTACAACGGTGAAGGCGACCCTCGACCATGGTTGACTAGATGCAATTTGTTTTTCCTTGGCCAGCGCACGCCTGACACGGACAAGACTTGGATGGCGTCATACCATCTAACAGATGTGGCTGCCCTTTGGTATGGCCATCTAGAGGAGAAGATCGGTCGGCCAACTTGGGCAGACTTTGTTGCGCGGGTCAGCCAGCACTTTGGCCCTCCCACACGTGCCAATCCCTTCGGTGAGCTCATCTCCCTCCGTCGTACGGGCTCGGTGGCGGAGTATACTAAACAGTTCCTCCAACTCTTGTCCCGCATCAACCCCATCCCAGATGATGAGGAGCGCAGCATCTTCACCAATAATCTGGGCAAGCCACTAAAAACACAGGTCGAGCTGCTGTGTCCAGCTACTCTCGAGGATGCTATGGACATGGCCGTCTCCTATGAGCACCTTGCCATGGTGACCACGGTTACTGCTGCCACTCCGACGCGCCCTGGTCGTCCTACACGCCCTGTCCCAGCAGCCCCAGGTGCTGCCACAGGCGACCCCTCTTCTGGGGGTTGGCCTGTCTTCAAAAAGCTTAACGCCGCCGAGATGGAGGACAAACGCAGCAAGGGACTATGCTTCAACTGCGATGAGAAGTATGTCCGGGGACATCGCTGCAAGCGTCTCTTCTACATCGAGTCCGCCGACGACGACGAGGAAGACAATGGTGACAACCTACACATCTCGCTGCTCGCAATCACCGGCGTACGTACCAGCGACACAATGCAGCTAGTGGTCCGTGTAGGCGAGCGCGAATTGGTCGCTCTCCTCGACTCTGGTAGCACTCACAATTTCATCAACGAGGAGCTTGCTGCACAAGTGGGCAGCCACTTCTCCACAGGGCGCCACCTCCGCGTAACAGTAGCCAATGGAGATCACGTCACATGTGGTGGTCTTGTTCGGCAGACTGCCATCACCATAGGCCAAGAAGACTTCCTCGTCGATCTTTACGCCATTCCCTTGGGTGGGTTTGACGTCGTTCTCGGGACACACTGGCTCAAGACACTCGGGCCCATACTTTGGGACTTCACGCGTCTTTGGATGTCCTTCTGGCGGTTCGACCATCGCGTTGAGTGGTATGGTATCGCGGCGTCAACCCAACCCCACCACATTCACGCTTGTTCCGGGCGGGAGCTTCTTGACAGCCTCCTCAATGAATACGTTGACGTTTTCGCAGAGCCTCGGGGCCTGCTGCCGCCTCGCACTCACGACCATCGCATCCGCTTGGTGCCTGGTACCGCACTGGTGGCTGTTCGACCATATCGCTACCCGGCTATCCAAAAAGACGAGCTCGAGAGACAGTGCGCGGACATGTTGGAGCGCGGCCTTATCCGCCGCAGCACTTCTGAGTTCTCTTCGCCCGTTCTTCTGGTGAAGAAGCACGACAGCTCCTGGCGATTCTGCGTCGATTTTCGTGGCGTCAACGTCAACACCATCAAGGACAAGTTCCCTATTCTTGTAGTAGACGAGCTACTGGACGAGCTAAAGGGCGCCCGCTTCTTCACAAAGCTGGACTTGCGATCTGGTTATCACCAGGTGCGCATGCATATTGAGGATATCCACAAAACAGCGTTCCAGACACACGAGAGCCTGTTTGAGTTCCTCGTCATGCCTTTTGGACTCAGAAATGCGCCGGCAACCTTCCAGGCTTTGATGAACGACGTACTTCGACCCCATTTACGCAAATTTGTGTTAGTATTTTTTGATGATATTTTGGTGTACAACGCTTCATGGTCGGAGCATGTTCGACATGTGCGAGTCGTTTTGGAGCTCATGCGCGAGCACCAGTTATTTCTCAAGCGCTCCAAGTGCTCTTTTGGGGAGGAGTCGGTTACGTACCTCGGTCACGTCATCTCCATCGACGGTGTCGCCATGGACAATCAAAAGGTTATGGCTGTTGTTGATTGGCCGGTGCCGCGCACAGTTCGTGTGGTCCGCGGTTTTTTGGGGTTGGCCGGCTACTATCGGAAGTTCATCCGCGATTTTGGCATTATTGCAGCACCCCTCACAGCGTTGCTCAAAAAGGATGGATTTCTTTGGTCTGAGGAGGCAACACATGCTTTTACAAGATTGAAGACTGCCCTGACTACAGCACCAGTGCTTCAACTTCCGGATTTCACCGTGCCATTCATTGTGGAATGTGATGCCTCTGGTTCGGGATTCGGCGTAGTGTTACACCAAGGTGCGGGACCCATTGCTTACTTCAGTCGGCCTATTGCTCTTCTGTAACACCCTCGATGCGACTATAGCTCCCACGTGTCGAGGCACGACTTAGAGACATAATTGCATTGAAGGCATATGTCGCAAGTTAGGCAATCTTCACAACATCCCATGTAATATGATAATAAAAGGGAGATAACATAGTTGGCTTACACTCGCCACGTCAATCAATTACATAAATAACATTACATCATCCAAAACACTCATGGCCCGACTACGGCGCCAAAATAAAAGAGAACCCAACATGCGACACGGTCCCAATCACCCCCAACTGGGCACCACTACTGATCATCGGGAAAGGAAACGTAGTATCGTTGAGAGTCTTCGTCGAACTCCCACTTGAGCTCATACGCGTCTCCTGGGGCGGAATCATCAGGCCCTGCATCTGGTGTAATAGTAATCTGTGAGCCACAGGGACTCAGCAATCCCAGACTTAGTGAAAACTACTAAGTCCCTGAAAACAGATTTACCGGGTGCCTCACTTTGCAAGCTTGCACAAGTCACCACACACATCCTAAAAATGCATGGGTTGCACCTCTGGAAAGATAACAAAATCCCTAACAAAACATATGAAGGACTCACAGGCATAGCATGCACACAACAATCATGGCAAAAATGACAAAAGTCTAAGATGAACTAGCAGATCTGACAATTAACTCACGAAGTCTCCTTCTAACAGCATTTCAGGCATCAAGATGAACTCAAATGAAAATGATGCAATGGAATGAAATGATGTACTCGTCGAGACGAACATTTTTATATGCTATATGCCCAAATCGGAGCTACGGATGCGGAGATATAGCCGGTCAAAGTTTGCATAAAAAATTAGGGTTTCGGGGATAAAAGTCAACCGGGGGGATTTTCAGATCCAGATCTGCACTGTTCACCGGCTGTTCACCGGCGCGAAAAACGATGATGGCCGGCGCCGGAGATGGTGG